TTCATAGGGTTTCTTTCCTTATTCCGTTTACTTGTTCCTCTTTTTCGCCCTTCTTCGTTGCTTCTTCCTTGCTTTCTCCCGCATTCTTTTCCTTTTTCGTCTTCACTTCCGCATATTATTTCCTTGTGCTTTTACCTTGGATCGCAACGCCGCACCAAGCATTGATTAACCCTTCGAAGCAAGAAATTCCCCCAAACATTCAACAATTCAGTTACCACCTCAACGAAAACACACCTCCATCACAAATATCAAAATGTTAATCTTGTTTATGTAAATAATCAGTTTTTTTTCAGAATCCTATTAAACCTATCAATATACTCTGTGGGCGAAATGCACAGATACTGAATATTAAAGCAAAGTGGTCCAGAACATACAAGTACCATTACGCTTAAAAGGGTTAACCTGAGCGGTATTTGACTCCACGAAGTACACAGCTTAGCATTTTTATTTGGCGTTCATACCCATTACCAGAAGACAGCAGACATCTTCATGCTCACGATTTGAAGATACCAGTTTAATGTTCATATAGCATTCAGCGACACTACACAACATACAGACATAAATTCTACTGTAGACATCGTAACCTCGAACTGACAGACAAAGAGTTGTCTGCATTTCATTAATTTGGCGCAAATAACACACAGAATATGTAATTGTATCGGGCAATGTTTTCCTTCAGGCAAACCAACTTCATACTAGCATCAAACTAGAGATAAAACGAGGCCACAGAGCAGCCCGTTGAAGCATAACGAGCCATATCTTCACTATTTGTAGCTGGTCTCTCGAACTTTCGATGGCCCCTATACCTGGATTATTCGTCCATATCCGATTTCGTGAGAAGAAAGTTGAATAATCGAAAATGGATTGACCTAGTAGCAATTCCATGCCGACTTTAGAAAAACATTTCATGGCGAAGAGCGCTTAAATAAGGCAAGGTTTCCTGTGTTAAGGAACAAAGATTATAGAAGGAAAGAGGACAAAAGGAAACAAGTAAGAAATAAAGTAATATAAGAAATACGGAAAAAGGAAGGAAAGGATAAGCAAAGGAAGAATGATATAGAGCAAAAAATAAAACAAAAACGAAAGACGAAAAGAAGAAAACATGAAAAAAGGAAGTTATGAAACATAACCAACTACCTAGATGGCTTACCGAACCCAAAGGTTCATCACCGAATTAACCAAAGCCCTCCATCGGTCCCTGTCCTGGGCCAATAAAATCCAGTCTCCTTCAACTCCTATCTCCCGTAGATCCCGCCTGAGATTATCTCCCATCTACGTCTAGGTCTCCCCAGCGGTCTCTTCCCTTCAGTCTTCCTCACCAATATCCGGTGCACACCTCTTGTCACATCCATGCGCGCTACATGCCCAGCCCATCTCATTCTTCTCGGCTTAATCACCCTGACAATACTGGGGGAGCAGTACAGATTTTTAAGCTCATCATTATGCAGATTTCTCCATACCTCATCCTCTTCTCTCCTAGGCCCAAATATCCTCCTCAACACCCTGTTCCCAAACACCTGCAATCTGTGTTCCTCCCTCTGAGTGAGAGACCATGTTTCGCACCCATACAAAACAACGGGCAAAATTATTGTTTTGTATATTTTAATATGTAGGTTCTTATAAATCAGACGGGAAGACAAAATATTTTGAACTGGAAAATACCAAGCATTTCCAGAATTTAGTCTCCTAATTTCCTCGTGAATGGAAAGTAATAAAACCAAAAAAGAAAGAAATTACAAGAGAAGGAAAAGGCAAACAACTGCCAATGAAAAAAGAAAACCAGAGAGAAAAATAAAGGCAGAAAGATCGATGACTTTAAATAAATATGGAAGAAAGTGGTCGAGGTCTATTTTAAAATATCACGGCATTTGTCTGGAGGAACTGGGGTAAAAATAAATGTCCCAAGCCAGGTTTCTAATGTGTGATCTCTAAACTACGAAGCAGGAGTGCCAATCACTATTTCTTCTGAATCCAGTGGATGGTCAACGAACTTTGTTGATTCACGTCCTCCATGAGTGCAACAATTCCATTATTCCACGCGGATTTCAAAGTCTCTTACAGGACACTCCTTGAGCTCATCTCCATATACGGTAAATCAGACACCGAGCGTTTCACCATGCTACAGGAATGGTCTCGCGGGATTTGTAGATTATGCGCGCTAAATGTAATTGGCATCGCTGTGCTAAGCGTTGAATGTGTGTGAAAGTGAGGAAATTACTAGTCTGTATCGCCAAGAAAAAGTGATTTGTTAATGCGACAATGGTAGCTGCAAGTACCATGTGGTTTGCAATAAATAGCGATTCTTTCCCTCGGCTGATAGATGGAAGTAAAGTTTGCTTGACAGCCGGGCATTGATCTTCGTCACAAATCAGGACCAGCTATGGGGCCTCACACCTTTGCCTGCTCTTTTGTTAGCGTATCCTTAATTTTTGTTTTCTTTATGTTCTTTACTTGTTTATTTAAGTATTCCGGAGGTATGTAGAGCGGATTGCTTCTTGAGAAACTAATAGCCGCTTATCAAAAAATTCTTCGCATTTCAGTCTCCCTGAACTACCCTGGCTACTGTGGTTATCACGGGTACTTCCTTCTGTGGCATCCTAGTCACGCAATTATGTGGGGAATCCTCCAATTATGTCATAATCCATACTGAGAGACACCAGACATCGGGCGAATGCACCAGAATTGCCGATCTTTCGTATATTTTCTAATTTGCTATAGTAAACATTTCACGCAATGCTAAATCAAATAATCCTCAAAGTGGTTTCAGAGATAATAAATTCGAACTGAGATGGACAACGTCCCAATTATGCACTGCCAAGGCTACCAACGCGCAGTGCTTATGCACAGCGATTTCTCTGCATTCTTTCACAAGGTATTCTGAACAGTCTGCAAGCTTATTCCATTACAGAGACGAATAGAACTTACTAAATCAGCTGTGAAACAAAGATTTATCCTATGGCTATTCTTCTCATCAAGTTATGTAGTCCTGACGACGGCTGCAGCGAGAGTCTGCCTGTCCGTCCATCGTCTCGGTTCAAGGAATGGGAACCAACGTAATGCAACCTGCAAACAAAG